TCCTTCAGTCCTTCCTCTTCATCCTTCAGTCCTTCCTCTTCATCCTTCACTTCCTCCTCTTCATCCTTCAGTCCTTCCTCTTCATCCTTCAGTCCTTCCTCTTCATCCTGCAGTCCTTCCTCTTCATCCTTCATTCCTTCCTCTTCATCCTTCAGTCCTTCCTCTTCATCCTTTAGTCCTTCCTCTTCATCCTTCAGTCCTTCCTCTTCATCCTTCAGTCCTTCCTCTTCATCCTTCACTTCTTCCTCTTCATCCTTCAGTCCTTCCTCTTCATCCTTCACTCCTTCTCTTCATCCTTCAGTCCTTTCTCTTCATCCTTCAGTCCTTCCTCTTCATCCTTCACTCCTTCCTCTTCATCCTTCACTCCTTCCTCTTCATCCTTCAGTCCTTCCTCTTCATCCTTCAGTCCTTCCTCTTCATCCTTCACTCCTTCTCTTCATCCTTCAGTCCTTCCTCTTCATCCTTCACTCCTTCCTCTTCATCCTTCACTCCTTCCTCTTCATCCTTCAGTCCTTCCTCTTCATCCTTCACTCCTTCCTCTTCATCCTTCACTTCTTCATCCTTCACTCCTTCCTCTTCGTCCTTCAGTCCTTCCTCTTCATCCTTCTCTACTTCTTCTTCATCCTTCAGTCCTTCCTCTTCATCCTTCAGTCCTTCCTCTTCATCCTTCAGTTCTTCCTCTTCATCCTTCACTCCTTCCTCTTCATCCTTCACTCCTTCCTCTTCATCATTCTCTCCTTCCTTTTCATCCTTCAGTCCTTCCTCTTCATCCTTCACTTCCTCCTCTTCATCCTTCAGTCCTTCCTCTTCATCCTTCACTCCTTCCTCTTCATCCTTCACTTCTTCATCCTTCACTCCTTCCTCTTCGTCCTTCAGTCCTTCCTCTTCATCCTTCTCTACTTCTTCTTCCTCCTTCAGTCCGTCCTCTTCATCCTTCACTTCTTCCTCTTCATCCTTCAGTCCTTCCTCTTCATCCTTCACATCCTTCCTCTTCATCATTCTCTCCTTCCTCTTCATCCTTCAGTCCTTCCTCTTCATCCTTCACTTCCTCCTCTTCATCCTTCAGTCCTTCCTCTTCATCCTTCAGTCCATCCTCTTCATCCTTCAGTCCTTCCTCTTCATCCTTCACTCCTTCCTCTTCATTCTTCAGTCCTTCCTCTTCATCCTTCAGTCCTTCCTCTTCATCCTTCAGTCCTTCCTCTTCATCCTTCACTCCTTCCTCTTCATCCTTCACTCCTTCCTCTTCATCCTTCACTCCTTCCTCTTCATCCTTCAGTCCTTCCTCTTCATCCTTCACTCCTTCCTCTTCATCCTTCACTTCTTCATCCTTCACTCCTTCCTCTTCGTCCTTCAGTCCTTCCTCTTCATCCTTCTCTACTTCTTCTCTTCATCCTTCAGTCCTTCCTCTTCATCCTTCACTTCTTCCTCTTCATCCTTCAGTCCTTCCTCTTCATCCTTCACTCCTTCCTCTTCATCATTCTCTCCTTCCTCTTCATCCTTCAGTCCTTCCTCTTCATCCTTCAGTCCTTCCTCTTCATCCTTCACTTCCTCCTCTTCATCCTTCAGTCCTTCCTCTTCATCCTTCAGTCCATCCTCTTCATCCTTCAGTCCTTCCTCTTCATCCTTCACTCCTTCCTCTTCATTCTTCAGTCCTTCCTCTTCATCCTTCAGTCCTTCCTCTTCATCCTTCAGTCCTTCCTCTTCATCCTTCACTTCCTCCTCTTCATCCTTCAGTCCTTCCTCTTCATCCTTCAGTCCTTCCTCTTCATCCTGCAGTCCTTCCTCTTCATCCTTCATTCCTTCCTCTTCATCCTTCAGTCCTTCCTCTTCATCCTTTAGTCCTTCCTCTTCATCCTTCAGTCCTTCCTCTTCATCCTTCAGTCCTTCCTCTTCATCCTTCACTTCTTCCTCTTCATCCTTCAGTCCTTCCTCTTCATCCTTCACTCCTTCTCTTCATCCTTCAGTCCTTTCTCTTCATCCTTCAGTCCTTCCTCTTCATCCTTCACTCCTTCCTCTTCATCCTTCACTCCTTCCTCTTCATCCTTCAGTCCTTCCTCTTCATCCTTCAGTCCTTCCTCTTCATCCTTCAGTCCTTCCTCCTCTTCATCCTTCACTCCTTCTCTTCATCCTTCACTCCTTCCTCTTCATCCTTCAGTCCTTCCTCTTCATCCTTCACTCCTTCCTCTTCATCCTTCACTTCTTCATCCTTCACTCCTTCCTCTTCGTCCTTCAGTCCTTCCTCTTCATCCTTCTCTACTTCTTCTTCATCCTTCAGTCCTTCCTCTTCATCCTTCACTTCTTCCTCTTCATCCTTCAGTTCTTCCTCTTCATCCTTCACTCCTTCCTCTTCATCCTTCACTCCTTCCTCTTCATCATTCTCTCCTTCCTTTTCATCCTTCAGTCCTTCCTCTTCATATCCTTCACTTCCTCCTCTTCATCCTTCAGTCCTTCCTCTTCATCCTTCAGTCCATCCTCTTCATCCTTCAGTCCTTCCTCTTCATCCTTCACTCCTTCCTCTTCATTCTTCAGTCCTTCCTCTTCATCCTTCAGTCCTTCCTCTTCATCCTTCACTTCCTCCTCTTCATCCTTCAGTCCTTCCTCTTCATCCTTCAGTCCTTCCTCTTCATCCTGCAGTCCTTCCTCTTCATCCTTCATTCCTTCCTCTTCATCCTTCAGTCCTTCCTCTTCATCCTTTAGTCCTTCCTCTTCATCCTTCAGTCCTTCCTCTTCATCCTTCAGTCCTTCCTCTTCATCCTTCACTTCTTCCTCTTCATCCTTCAGTCCTTCCTCTTCATCCTTCACTCCTTCCTCTTCATCCTTCAGTCCTTCCTCTTCATCCTTCACTTCTTCCTCTTCATCCTTCAGTCCTTCCTCTTCATCCTTCACTCCTTCCTCTTCATCCTTTAGTCCTTCCTCTTCATCCTTCAGTCCTTCCTCTTCATCCTTCAGTCCTTCCTCTTCATCCTTCAGTCCTTCCTCTTCATCCTTCACTTCTTCCTCTTCATCCTTCAGTCCTTCCTCTTCATCCTTCACTCCTTCCTCTTCATCCTTCAGTCCTTCTCTTCATCCTTCAGTCCTTCCTCTTCATCCTTCACTCCTTCCTCTTCATCCTTCACTTCTTCCTCTTCATCCTTCAGTCCTTCCTCTTCATCCTTCAGTCCTTCCTCTTCATCCTTCACTCCTTCCTCTTCATCCTTCAGTCCTTCCTCTTCATCCTTCACTCCTTCCTCTTCATCCTTCACTCCTTCCTCTTCATCCTTCAGTCCTTCCTCTTCATCCTTCACTCCTTCCTCTTCATCCTTCACTTCTTCATCCTTCACTCCTTCCTCTTCGTCCTTCAGTCCTTCCTCTTCATCCTTCTCTACTTCTTCTTCATCCTTCAGTCCTTCCTCTTCATCCTTCACTTCTTCCTCTTCATCCTTCAGTTCTTCCTCTTCATCCTTCACTCCTTCCTCTTCATCCTTCACTCCTTCCTCTTCATCATTCTCTCCTTCCTTTTCATCCTTCAGTCCTTCCTCTTCATCCTTCACTTCCTCCTCTTCATCCTTCAGTCCTTCCTCTTCATCCTTCACTCCTTCCTCTTCATCCTTCACTTCTTCATCCTTCACTCCTTCCTCTTTCCTTCAGTCCTTCCTCTTCATCCTTCTTCCTTCTCTTCATCCTTCAGTCCTTCCTCTTCATCCTTCACTCCTTCCTCTTCATCCTTCAGTCCTTCCTCTTCATCCTTCATCCTTCCTCTTCATCCTTCCTCCTTCCTCTTCATCCTTCAGTCCTTCCTCTTCATCCTTCACTCCTTCCTCTTCATCCTTCAGTCCTTCCTCTTCATCCTTCAGTCCTTCCTCTTCATCCTTCAGTCCTTCCTCTTCATCCTTCACTCCTTCCTCTTCATCCTTCAGTCCTTCCTCTTCATCCTTCAGTCCTTCCTCTTCATCCTTCAGTCCTTCCTCTTCATCCTTCATCCTTCCTCTTCATCCTTCAGTCCTTCCTCTTCATCCTTCACTCCTTCCTCTTCATCCTTCAGTCCTTCCTCTTCATCCTTCATCCTTCCTCTTCATCCTTCTCTCTTCATCCTTCACTCCTTCCTCTTCATCCTTCAGTCCTTCCTCTTCATCCTTCACTCCTTCCTCTTCATCCTTCAGTCCTTCCTCTTCATCCTTCACTTCTTCCTCTTCATCCTTCAGTCCTTCCTCTTCATCCTTCACTCCTTCCTCTTCATCCTTTAGTCCTTCCTCTTCATCCTTCAGTCCTTCCTCTTCATCCTTCAGTCCTTCCTCTTCATCCTTCATCCTTCCTCTTCATCCTTCAGTCCTTCCTCTTCATCCTTCAGTCCATCCTCTTCATCCTTCAGTCCTTCCTCTCTTCATCCTTCACTCCTTCCTCTTCATCCTTCAGTCCTTCCTCTTCATCCTTCAGTCCTTCCTCTTCATCCTTCAGTCCTTCCTCTTCATCCTTCACTCCTTCCTCTTCATCCTTCAGTCCTTCCTCTTCATCCTTCAGTCCTTCCTCTTCATCCTTCAGTCCTTCCTCTTCATCCTTCATCCTTCCTCTTCATCCTTCAGTCCTTCCTCTTCATCCTTCAGTCCTTCCTCTTCATCCTTCAGTCCTTCCTCTTCATCCTTCAGTCCTTCCTCTTCATCCTTCACTTCTTTCCTCTTCATCCTTCAGTCCTTCCTCTTCATCTCTTCACTCCTTCCTCTTCATCCTTCAGTCCTTCCTCTTCATCCTTCAGTCCTTCCTCTTCATCCTTCAGTCCTTCCTCTTCATCCTTCAGTCCTTCCTCTTCATCCTTCAGTCCTTCCTCTTCATCCTTCAGTCCTTCCTCTTCCCTCATCCTTCAGTCCTTCCTCCTCTTCATCCTTCACTCCTTCCTCTTCATCCTTCACTTCCTTCCTCTTCATCCTTCAGTCCTTCCTCTTCATCCTTCATCCTTCCTCTTCATCCTTCACTCTTCATCCTTCATCCTTCTCCTTCCTCTTCATCCTTCAGTCCTTCCTCTTCATCCTTCAGTCCTTCCTCTTCATCCTTCAGTCCTTCCTCTTCATCCTTCACTTCTTCCTCTTCATCCTTCAGTCCTTCCTCTTCATCCTTCACTCCTTCCTCTTCATCCTTCAGTCCTTCCTCTTCATCTTCCTCCTTCCTCTTCATCCTTCAGTCCTTCCTCTTCATCCTTCACTTCCTTCCTCTTCATCCTTCAGTCCTTCCTCTTCATCCTTCAGTCCTTCCTCTTCATCCTTCAGTCCTTCCTCTTCATCCTTCTCTCCTTCCTCTTCATCCTTCAGTCCTTCCTCTTCATCCTTCAGTCCTTCCTCTTCATCCTTCACTCCTTCCTCTTCATCCTTCAGTCCTTCCTCTTCATCCTTCAGTCCTTCCTCTTCATCCTTCAGTCCTTCCTCTTCATCCTTCATCCTTCCTCTTCATCCTTCAGTCCTTCCTCTTCATCCTTCAGTCCTTCCTCTTCATCCTTCAGTCCTTCCTCTTCATCCTTCAGTCCTTCCTCTTCATCCTTCACTCCTTCCTCTTCATCCTTCAGTCCTTCCTCTCTTCATCCTTCACTCCTTCCTCTTCATCCTTCAGTCCTTCCTCTTCATCCTTCAGTCCTTCCTCTTCATCCTTCAGTCCTTCCTCTTCATCCTTCAGTCCTTCCTCTTCATCCTTCAGTCCTTCCTCTTCATCCTTCAGTCCTTCCTCTTCATCCTTCAGTCCTTCCTCTTCATCCTTCACTCCTTCCTCTTCATCCTTCACTCCTTCCTCTTCATCCTTCAGTCCTTCCTCTTCATCCTTCTCTCCTTCTCTTCATCCTTCATCCTTCCTCTTCATCCTTCACTCCTTCCTCTTCATCCTTCAGTCCTTCTCTTCATCCTTCAGTCCTTCTCTTCATCCTTCATCCTTCCTCTTCATCCTTCAGTCCTTCCTCTTCATCCTTCAGTCCTTCCTCTTCATCCTTCCTCCTTCCTCTTCATCCTTCAGTCCTTCCTCTTCATCCTTCAGTCCTTCCTTTCATTCATCCTTCAGTCCTTCCTCTTCATCCTTCAGTCCTTCCTCTTCATCCTTCAGTCCTTCCTCTTCATCCTTCAGTCCTTCCTCTTCATCCTTCAGTCCTTCCTCTTCATCCTTCAGTCCTTCCTCTTCATCCTTCAGTCCTTCCTCTTCATCCTTCAGTCCTTCCTCTTCATCCTTCAGTCCTTCCTCTTCATCCTTCAGTCCTTCCTCTTCATCCTTCAGTCCTTCCTCTTCATCCTTCAGTCCTTCCTCTTCATCCTTCAGTCCTTCCTCTTCATCCTTCAGTCCTTCCTCTTCCTCTTCATCCTTCAGTCCTTCCTCTTCATCCTTCAGTCCTTCCTCTTCATCCTTCACTCCTTCCTCTTCATCCTTCAGTCCTTCCTCTTCATCCTTCACTCCTTCCTCTTCATCCTTCAGTCCTTCCTCTTCATCCTTCACTCCTTCCTCTTCATCCTTCATCCTTCCTCTTCATCCTTCATCCTTCCTCTTCATCCTTCAGTCCTTCCTCTTCATCCTTCATCCTCCTTCCTCAGTCTCTTCATCCTTCAGTCCTTCCTCTTCATCCTTCACTCCTTCCTCTTCATCCTTCAGTCCTTCCTCTTCATCCTTCATCCTTCCTCTTCATCCTTCACTCCTTCCTCTTCATCCTTCAGTCCTTCCTCTTCATCCTTCAGTCCTTCCTCTTCATCCTTCAGTCCTTCCTCTTCATCCTTCAGTCCTTCCTCTTCATCCTTCAGTCCTTCCTCTTCATCCTTCAGTCCTTCCTCTTCATCCTTCAGTCCTTCCTCTTCATCCTTCAGTCCTTCCTCTTCATCCTTCACACTCATCCTTCCTCTTCATCCTTCAGTCCTTCCTCTTCATCCTTCAGTCCTTCCTCTTCATCCTTCAGTCCTTCCTCTTCATCCTTCAGTCCTTCCTCTTCATCCTTCAGTCCTTCCTCTTCATCCTTCTCTTTACTCTCCCTCCTCTCTCCTCTCTCTCCTCTATTCTTTCTTTTCTTCTCCTCTCTCCAGTCTCCTCTCTCCTCTTCCATCTCCTCATCTCTCTTCTCTCTCCCCTCTCTTCGCCTCCCCTTTTCTCTCTCTTCTCTCTCCTCTATTCTCTCTCTCCTTATCTTTTTCTCTCTCCAGTTTCTGCTCTCCTCTCTCTCCCTTCTCTCTCCTCTCCTCTATCACTTCTCCTCTCTCGTCTCTCTCTTCTCTCTCCACTCCCTTCTCTCTCATCTCCTCTCCTCTTTTTTTCGTTCTTTCTCATGTTTTAGTGCAGGTTCTACAGGTGCTTGGTAACTGACACTGCACTTTCTCTCCGTTCTGTCTCTCTTTTGGCCGAACGAGGATTTATCAGATCTTTTCTTGAGCTTTGATTCTTACTTTGCTGTTGTGTTTTCCAAGTTTCATATCTGCTCCCTGATGTTATTGAATCCTTCTACATATTCAGGCCTCTCTCCATACGTGCCTCTCGCAGCTGCAGAACCTCTGGGACATTTTTCCACATCTGCCGCCATTTTTTAGCCGTAAACAAACGTGTGGAAATGTGTAACATCGGATCTCACTGATGCATGACTGGAAACAGCCACTTTGTTCTGGTTTTTTATAGTTGTTTAAAGCGAACGCCTTTCCACGGAGACGTCCAACTGGATCCACCGGCTCTTTCTGAACAAAACGAAAAGATAGAAAAGTTTGTGGCGTTTTTGTGGAACATTCTGGACTCTGTGATATTCACACAAAGGCAGGTTTAATGGTATAGCACAGTGAAAACACACATGCTCAGCTGAACAGGAAAAGAAAACATTATAATTGGTCTCACAGAGGAGTAATGTCTCTCTCTTCTCTCCTCTCTCTTCTGTCTCTCCTCTCTCTCCTCTCTCTTCTCTCTCTCCTCTCTCCTCCTCTCTCTCCTCTCTCTTCTCTCTCTCCTCTCTCTTCTCTCTCTCCTCTCTCTTCTCTCTCTCCTCTCTCTCCTCTCTCTCCTCTCTCTCTCTCTCTCTCTCTCCTCTCTCTCCTCTCTCTCCTCTCTCTCCTCTCTCTCCTCTCTCTCTCTCTCTCCTCTCTCTCTCTCCTCTCTCTCCTCTCTCTCCTCTCTCTCCTCTCTCTCCTCTCTCTCCTCTCTCTCTTCTCTCTTCTCTCTCTCCTCTCTCTCCTCTCTCTCCTCTCTCTTCTCTCTCTCCTCTCTCTCCTCTCTCTTCTCTCTCTCCTCTCTCCTCTCTCTCTTCTCTTCTCTCTCTCCTCTCTCTCGTCTCTCTCCTCTCTCTCCTCTCTCTCTTCTCTTCTCTCTCTCCTCTCTCTCCTCTCTCTCCTCTCTCTTCTCTCTCCTCTATCTCTTCTCTCCTCTGTGTCTTTTCCTCTCTCTTCTCCTCTTTCTTCTCTTCTTTACAGAACAGTAGGAATGAGGAGCACACCGCACAGGATACATGAACAATAAATCTATATTAAAATAAAATCTCTAACTTTAGCAAAATCATCATTCTGAAAGCGTTTAAATCATAAATAATCACAGTTTATTGACAAGAGTAAAGATAACATCCCTCAAATGCCTGTCTTGTATTTTCAGGAAGACTGTTCCAGATTTTGGCTGCATACATTTGAATTGCTCCCTTCCAACGTTTAGTCCTGACTCTGGGACCAGTCCCTGTGCTCCTCAGAGTCCCACCAGGAGAACAGTCCCTGTGCTCCTCAGAGTCCCAGCAGGAGACCAGTCCCTGTGCTCCTCAGAGTCCCAGCAGGAGGCCAGTCCCTGTGCTCCTCAGAGTCCCAGCAGGAGGCCAGTCCCTGTGCTTCTCAGAGTTGGCTCATGGCACTAACATGGCTTCTCTCTGAGCCACAGAAGCCGGTGCAGAGACCTGAGTTATAATCATGTGTAAATGTTGACACTCTACTGTTCACATAAACTCAGATCCAAACATTCGCAGCTCGACTCGTTCACACTCAGCCCTTTGCTGCTGGAGATGAAGCAAACCGAGGATCGTCACTTCAGGTTCATCACAGCAGAGCGTCTGTCAGCGCCTTCTGCTGATCCTATCTCTGCACAACCATGGCATTCTTCAGCACGCACTACAGGTACAGACACACACACACACACACGCACACACACACACGCACACACGCACACACACACACGCACACACGCACACACACACACACACACACACACACACCTGCAGCAGCTCCCGACCACCATCACTCACCGCTGCAGGGGCCCCGTACGTCAGGGCGTCACAGAGATTACTCACACTTTTAGTCAAAACTGAAAACGTCCATTTTTCTCTTATTTGACACAAAGAAGAAATATCCTGCATCATTTAGTCCCATTACAATGAAAATGAGACGAATTGCTTTGTCATTTCAATTAGTGCCACATGCACCAACTCTGAGGAGCACAGGGACTGGTCTACTGCTGGGGCTCTGAGGAGCACAGGGACTGGCCTCCTGCTGGGACTCTGAGGAGCACAGGGACTGGCCTCCTGCTGGGACTCTGAGGAGCACAGGGACTGGTCTCCTTCTGGTCTCAGAGTCAGATCTAAACATGAGGAGGTTGCATTTCAGATTCCTGCAGCCAAAACAGTCTTCCTGAATGACTTCTAATGTGGGTGAAGTGCCTTGCCTAAGGACACAACCACAGTCTGGCACTTTACAGCCACAGCCGCCCCACTGTGGCACCTGCTGTTCCCAGAGGTCTCCCATCACAGCACTTCCAGCTCCAAGTCTGGCTTCTGTCTGCGGTCCTCATCCTCTCGGTCGTTACCCAAAACTCGTGACTGAAGGTAAGAAGCTTCAATACGTTCATTTAGTAAAACATGTCGAAAGCATCATATGTCTCCTTTAATGTTTTCTCACACGGGCAGCTGGCTTGTTTTTCTCACACTCTTGAACAGAACCAGGCCCGTGCGCTCGTCACCGCGGTCATCGCAGAGAAGGGAAAAAAATGGACGTTGAAGCTCATAAAAAGTGTTGGGATTCCTCGGTCAAGATAAGTTCCACAAACAAACCTCAGAGTCAGAAACGGCCTCAGAGAGAGAGAGGAGAGGGTCGCACCGGGACCACAGCCTTCACCAGTCACCTGCAGGAACCATAGACCTCTGAGGCTAAGCAGGGTAAGGCCTGGTTAGTGCTGTGATGGGAGACTCCAGGTGCCACAGATATGGTGTGCCACAGACGGTCACTGAGCTGCAGGAGTTTACTTTACATGTGTTGGAGCTAAACTTCATCCATGAGCACTTCTCCATTGGGTTTCATTGAGCTAGTTAGACAGTCTAGCTAGTCTATGGTAATTCCTGGAATGTACCATTATATCTTATGTTGGACAGTTATGCAGTTTGTGAAATTAAAAGTAACAGCGTTTGCCTTCATCACAGCGACAGTGGCTCAGTCGGAAGAGCACTTGGGCCTGAAGGTTGAGGGTTTGACCCCACCACAAGGTGACTCCTGCTGATTCATTCTGTTCATGTTTTCATGACATAAACACTGATTTAATGCGATGGCGGTAAACCCGGATGTAACCATTAACATAGAACATTTTAGGAACATTTGCAGAGGATCTGATGGATTTAGGTTAAGTTTATATTTAGGTCACTCACCGCTGAAGTTCACAATTCTTTGTTCTAGAACTCTCTTGTAGTTCCAGAGAGTTCTAGTTAGCTAGCCTAGCTGTTACTAGCATAGCTGTTACTAGCCTAGCTGTTACTAGCCTAGCTGTTACTAGCCTAGCTGTTACCCGTCTGGCCACATCACGGCGAAACCTTTGGGAACTAACTATTTTATAAATATCATTAAAAATAATGCCCATTACAGCTTCGAATATTAAGGGCTGTTTAATATTCGTTCATATAAACAAATATATATCTAATATTCGAATTATTTACGGGCATGAGCGTGATGATTGACAGCCCTTGGCATCACTTGATTGGTTAAAGTGGACGGCATCGTGGATTTCTAGCTGTAGCTAAGAGAAGGGAAGGCGGGACTTACCCGTAACGTCATAATTCATAAAATGACTTCTTTTGTATCAACATTTAAGCCCAGCAGGTCAACTTAATACAATTCTTAAAATGTGTGATTCATTTAGAGTTCCAGACTATCACTTTAACCCCACTTTGCCTGAAGCCCCCACTGAAAAATCAAGGCTCCTGAGGACTCAGCACCTGCAGGAGGATCAGTGAGGGGCTGGTGCTCTGACTGCCACCCCCGACCCAGAAATGGATTAAGGGGAAGAAATCGGATGGATGGAAAATCTTTATTCAGTAAAAGTTCTTGAACTAAGCAAATGTGTAAACATTCTGATCTTACTCCTGCAGGTGAAAGCCAGATCACATCCAACCTCTGAAGCTAATCAGGGCAGGACCTGGATAGTACTGTGATGGGAGACCTCTGGGAACACAGTGGGGCGGCTGCGGCTGTAAAGTGCCAAACTGACAAAACACTTCCCCCACATTAGAATGAGTCTGGTGTGTGTGAGTGGTTGGT